CCACTCACTCACTCACACTCACTCACTCACTCACTCACTCACCCACTCACTCACTCACCCACTCACTCACACTCACTCACTCTCTCACCCACTCACTCACTCACTCACTCACTCACTCACTCACCCACTCACCACCCACTCACTCACACTCACACTCACTCACTCACTCACCCACTCACTCACCCACTCACTCACCCACTCACACTCACTCACTCACTCACACTCACTCACTCACTCACTCACCCACCACACACTCACACCACTCACACCCACTCACCCACTCACTCACCCACTCACTCACACTCACTCACTCACACTCACTCACTCACTCACTCACTCACTCACTCACTCACTCACTCACTCACTCACTCACACCCACTCACTCACCCACTCACTCACCCACCCACTCACTCACTCACTCACTCCTCACACTCACACTCACACTCACACACACACACACACACACACACACACACACACACACACACACACACACACACACACACACACACACACACACACACACACACACACACACACACACACACACACACACACATTTGCGCATACATGAATATGTAATGTTTACAGACCTCACCTGAATGCAGTGTTGACTCCTACCCATTAATCATACAATCTCTTTCTTCTTGATTGCTTTTTCTTTCTTCCCTTCTCTTTTTCTTCTCTCCTTCCCCTTTTCTCTTCCCTCCTTTATTCTCTCCCCTTCACTCTGCTCTATCCCTCCCTCCTCCTCCTTCCCCCTTTTCTTTTTTCTTATTTCTTCTTTTTCTTCTTTTTCCACTTCTACCTATTGTTATTGTTATTATTATTATTATTATTGTTATTATTATTATTATTATTATTATTATTATTATTATTATCATTATTATTATCATTATTATCATTACTATTATTATTATTATCTACTTCCTCCTCCTCCTTCCTCCTTCTCGTCCTCCTCCTCTTTCTTTTCATCTTCCTCCTCATCCTCCTCATCCTCCTTTTCTTTCTCCTTTTCCTTTTCCTTCTCCTTCTTCCTCCTCCTCCTCTCCTTCCTCCTCCTCCCTTCCTCCTCCTCCTCTCCTTCCTCCTCCTCCTTCTCCTCCTCCTCCTTCCTCCTCCTCCTCCTCCTCCTCCTCCTCCTCCTCCTCCCTCCTCCCCCTCCCCCTCCCCCTCCCCTCTCCATTCCTCCTCTTCCTCCTCCTCCCTCCTCCTCCCCCTCCCCCTCCTCTCTTTTCTACTACTACTCTCCATCCTCCTCCTCCTCCTCCTCTTCCTCCTCTCCTTACTCCTCAACCTTATCCTCATCCTCCTTATTCTTCCTTTCCTCCTCAGCCCTTCTCTCCCCTTCCTCCACCATCTTTCAGAAGAGAAATACATTTTGTTTTTATACAATTTTACAGTTCACTAACTAATGTTTGCAGCTTTTGAACAGTTCTCCCCCTTTTGCAGCCTCTGAGTGAATGGGCATCGCCAATTGCGGAGAAATCTATCAACATGATGGTCAACATAAACATGGTGCACATATCACCATGGGCATGCACAGAGGGCCTCTTTGCAGCAGCTGGTAAACTCCTGAAGCCAGGTGGCATTCTGATCACTTACGGGCCTTACTCAATCCATGGTGAAATCACCCCTGAGAGTAATGTGAACTTCAATGCATCACTGAAGGTAATTTTTTACTTTTCTTTGTTTCATTACTGGACATATAAGATTGCAATTACATGTGCACTATCATCATACTCTGTTTTTCTTTTCTCTTTGTTTCATTACTGTATACATAAGCTTGCAATTACATGTGCTCTATCATCATACTCTGGGTATACTCAGATTACAGAGAATGATTATCATAGAAAATGTAGCTCAGCCAGTGCTATGCCACAAAGGAGCAAATTAGTAGACAGACCTCATCTACTTTTGCTTTTCCTTTAGTTTGCATGGGGGGTCATGCAATAGTTATTGATACTGCCATTTTTACTATAAACATTATAATTGTTATAGTTTTATTGACAGTAATATAAGATTGCAAAATATTTTCGAAATTCAACAAAAAGGGTTAAAAGGTGAGCCAAGTAGTGCTCGTAATTAGCTCACATCTGTGTGAAAAAACAATAAAGAATTTATACTAACAGTGGGCATGGCATGTACATGATGTAATCTCAGGCAGCATCAGGCTAATAAATTGTGTATAAATTAATATTTTATTTTCTCCATTATATCATAAGAAAATCAGTAATTCTTTACAAATTGGACACACTTGCCCCAAGTCACATTGTTTTTCCTCCTCTTTTTCTCTTTGTTTCCAAAAAATAAGTTGCCATGACTTGAAATGCCCAAACTGTGATAGCCCTGAAACTTCCACAATCTTTTTCAATTTTTTGTTGTATTACCATTCATATCTGCAGATTATTGCTCTTAACAAAAACTACAACATTTTGTCCTCTATATGAATAACATCTTCAATTTGCCCAATCATAATGCATCTGTATCATAAAGATTAAGTAGAATAACTCATTATTATATTTTTTTATCATTATTATTATTATATATACTATATTGATACACATAAGGCAGACAAATAAGGAGGGTCACCAAAACTTTGTGTGTTTGTCAATGAACATTTATATATTCTTCCTTTTTATTTCGAGTAACTTACTGATGCACCTGCATTGTTACCATACCCTAAGCATACTCACGTGATGCCAGATTCATTATCACGTTATATCTGACACATTTTATTGAAATGGCAATTGAAAATTTCTTTTTTCCCAAATATTCTGTTTTATATAGTACTGAATAATTCAGGGTGTAAAAATATCTTTTTAGAAGTGATTTGGGGACTATTTTCACGAGTACATGTTATCCATAAGATATGAGTACATGTTTTTCAGATCTGTTCCACCTTTTATTTCATCATCAATAAATAGTGTTCATATCTTCTTTGATAGCTTAGGAGAGTAATTTTTCATATATAGGTTGGGCACGTATCAAGTGACATATAGTATATCACCCTACAGATTCTGTAGGCTGCCACCTCTCCCTGTATGAAAGGAATAGATGGTTTCCTAATCTCTCATGGAATCAGAGAGCATCAAATTTCAAACACATGATTAGTACTGAAGCTTTTTATCATGCTGGGTATAAGAGTGCAGTCTCATAATATTTTTGGTATTTGGCTTCAGTTCCACATCGACCTGGTTTCAGCATTCCTCTTGCCGTTCACAGGTGTAATGCGATATCCATGTCCTTGTGTTTGTTGCCTTCCCCTTTTTGGAATCCTTTGTTTTCCATTGCCTTTTCAATGATTTTGGTTTATATTCTTTTTATTCATAGATCATCACTTTTTTGTGTCATATTATCACTCATGTGAGTTCAGTTTTTTACTAGTAATTAGCTCATTGACATTGATGAAGTATTTGTGGCGCCATCTATGTGTAAAGGCAATGAATAAACTAAACTCACGGTGGGCTGGGGTCGGCAGGATAGCTACTACCTATCTCACCTGTTTACCCTTTTCCTTGTTTTTTGGAAATATTTTCTTTTATCTTGTATTGCAGTTAGTTGCATCAATAATATTATAATAATTATGATATCTATAATGATATTTAAGCATTGACATAGATAGCATTATAGCTGAAGTCATCATGGTATGAACTAATATGATGTGGCAGACCAAATGGTGGAAATTTCTGTCAATGTCTCTTTAGCTGGATCTCCCAGAGCCACAATCTCATAGTGACTAGATCTTCAACCCTGGGACACGCTCACTACGAATGGTCGCAAACCAAGTCATTTTCTATAAAAAGATGTGGGTGTATTGTATGTTGTTGAAAGTTGTTCTTTTATTAGCTTAATAATGTATTTATTGTGTTGTTTTTCATTTAAGTAATTGTTGTATTATACTATTATCATTTAATATTTTGAAGAAAGAGAAAGCTGTAATCTAATATCCATCCGTTTATGATAGTGTATAGTTCAATTTTATCATTTATATCCATTTTCTTAATCATATAATTTTAGGAAACTGCAGAAATGCTGCTGCAAAAAGGGGCCAGTCCTGCACATACACTGTCCACTGTGGTTGTTTTGTGGATTTGTTTACACATAGATAGCTGTACAAGTGCTCAAGTTACTAAGTAGTCAATCAGTAGACCTTACATAACCTTACCTGATACCTACTTTTCTTGATTTTTTTCTCTTTTTTTTCTTTTTCTATTGCTATCAGTAATGATACTGTTATTGTTATTTGCCTTGTAATTATTATAATGATTTTAAAATACTGATAGCAATGATATGTCATCTATGTGTTTACAACATTAACTAAAATCACAGTGGACATGGCGTATATGTACAAGCCACCCCAGCACCTCCTGGTTAAGTGGGTTGTAGGGAGAGCAGGTTCAAGTTCTTGTCAGAGGGGGTGTTTACATCACGTTATCTGCCAACATTTATTATAATTCAAGTCCTTTTCTTTTCTCATAGAACATGTTCCCTTTTTTTCACCTATCCCCACCACTCATTTGTTTGCTTTTTTTTTCCACTAGAGTAACCCATTACAGCAATCATGCAATTAATTTCTGTATACGATATTTGATTTATTCAGAACTTCATTGATATTTCTGCGTCATTATTACGTGCCTTTGTTGTGTCCATTTCATTTGAGGTTGGAGGAGATGGAGGCATCAGCAATTTTCTATAAAACTTGCTCAAGACGTTACAAGTAGCTCTTTGATATTTTTTTCTGTGATATTGAAGGATGGTGGCATTCGCATCCTTTTACTAGATGACATAAGAAAGCTATTCAACCCATTAGGGTGTATATTTATTGTGGATTTTTAAAAGTTTATGGCATTCATAATAAACCATAAAAACTGTTACTGGAACCCCTTGGATCCGATTGCTTCATTGCCTGCCCATGGCCCAAAATAAGGGCATTAGGCTTAATTGAGTGGCCACTCTGCTGAGTATGTGGCTTATAGGCTGGGCACACACAAACAGTCCGTTTACAGTGACTAGACTTCATGCCTCTCCTTTGTTTGTTTTTTTTTATATATATAAGTATTTTTAGCCTTTTTGCCATTTATCTATGTTTGTATTTGTCATTTGATTTGATTTATCCAGATGGCACTAGATGGTACTCCATATCATTTTTTTTAGTCCATAACTTACTGCAATAATGTTCACAATAAGCAACTTCTTTTCCCCATAATTTTCAATTTACTGTAATACAATATGCGTTGCCAGTCACGGCAGGCAGGATTAGGATCCCGAGCATAGAAATAGTGTCCTCCCTAGAGCTGGCACTCTTCCAGTTATGGCTCATGGATGGTACATTCTATACTCCTTTGTCATTGGAAATCATATAAGAAATCCTTCTTAAATGCAAATTGAGTCTAATCACACCCACTCGCAGAGAATCATATCCATCACCCCTTCCTCCAGCCAAAATTTTCAAGACGGCATGTTCCCACAACCCCAGCCCTCAGCCAGATTTACCCATGATGTCATGTTCATGTCACTCCACTCCACAAGCCAAATTTTTCCATGACATGATGGTCATGACCTCCGGATTGTATGGGTTGATATATTTGCAGGCTATCTTCTGGGAGACACAATAGACATATTAATGTTAAACTTTTTTCTCTCTCTCACTCATTATCATTCATCTCTCCCTCCTCAGGAGCAAAACTTTGAATGGGGCCTTCGAGATGTAGACGAGCTGGAGAAAGAAGCAAAGAAAAATGGACTTGTGTTTGATGCTATGTTTGATATGCCGGCAAACAACAAAACTCTTGTGTGGCAGAAGAACGAATAGAGCTGGCACACAATTCAGGTCACTTTACAGGTGCTTTGATGCCTTGGTAAAACAAACATATATTGTGTGTAGTTGCATGTTGCAAGTATTTCATTTTGCTTGTTATCATGACTAAAGCAACAAAATTGTAATCACATTTGTAATTGTGCAATTGTATAGGGTTCTTTAAGGTTTACATGCACAAATTTCACAGCCAGTATGCACTTCTACTAAGGTATGCCAAAGATGTATATGCTTTATTTTTTACTTGCATTTTAGAATAAATATTACTAACAGTGTCAGAAAATGAGTACTTAGCTACTTCAATTGGTACTTAAAAGTATAATTATGAAGGCAATTAAAAGAAAGAAATGTGTGCCTTATATTGTAAGGATATGTTAATATGCAAATAACTTAAAAATGGTAAAAGATTACTCAAATGTATATCTACACTAATTAGATTTTATACTAGTTTTGATATGCTGACGAGACAGGGAGGTTTTCAGCTCCAAATCTTATTTATTTCAAGGGTAGTTTCCTATGTAATGTTTTGAATTTGATTGCAGCAGAATGTGAAACGTGACTTTTCAGTCTTCCCAATACTGTAACTGAGTGATCTTGACACACCTTGTTCTATTGATATGTTCTTTATACAATTATGCACATTCCAGAGTACATCTGTGTATGTCTTATAATATGGAGAATTTATTTCTTCTAATTACTGTTCTGTGATTAAAATATTTCCAAATAACCTTTTTTGTCTCTTGTAGTTTTTTGTGTTGCATTAGGTTTATATAATAATTAACTGTTCCAGTAATAGTAGATGAAATAGTAAGAAACACACATTTTTGTATATTTTTATAGCTTGCATTAAATTATGGTTGTGCATCATCATATGAACAAAATGGAGAATATTAGAAAGCCAAAATTAAGTGAAAAGTTGTATACATAATGGTGGTTTACCTAAAATACTTGTACTTCATTTTCTGTCCCATCATAATGAAACCTGTTCTGTTTAGCAGATGAGGAGAAAGAAGTGGACTGTAATCTCCATAGTAAACATTGTAACAGCTGTTGAGAAAGGAACTGTTCCGCAAGACCAGCTGAAGTGCTTAACATTTTGGTTATACATTATTCTTTCATTACATGTTCTCATGATTCTGATGAAAGATTATATAATCAAAAATGATCAAGTAATTCATCTTGGAATGATGATATGTTCTCTATAATCCTTTCTCAATAAAAGTCCACATCACATTTGCATTTAAACACCTTTTCAAGTCTAGTTCTCACACTATGTGCATTTAGTAATATGATAGATGTGGTAAGGTCTCGAGTTCTTGGTTTCATTCAGCCACTGGAAATGGCTAACTATACTGGTCCATCTTGGCTTGCAAGAATATATAAATAAGCACAATTCACTTTATTTTCTCCATCATTCTAAAATCTGAAAGCAGCTATGTGAACACCCTTCATAATGGTGACATGCAGTTGGCACTTCATACCAAATAAAGATGATATTTTGTGCTGTGCTTTTATTATTTTGTCCCATTGCCTTCTTATGAAAAGCCCAGTGACAGATACACTATAATTCACTCAGTCGTCCTACCTCCTTAATCCTCCCCTTTCTACTAATATCTGCTCTAGTTCACTTGCTCCCTTTTTTCCCTTTTCACTACCATACTAGACATCTAACACATTATATCATAATCTTTAACTCCCCTTTGCACTTTCTGACACGATACTTTACCATAGTGCTATATGACTTGATATCTAGCACATTTATCTTCGAACATTAAACAAACTCTTATGAAAAGTTGAATCTTTGGAGAGAAGCTTACAATATAGAATGAGGCATTACAACGAAAATTGTACAGGAAAAGCATTAAATTATTTTTGCTAATTTTATCAAGGTGAAGGTACAGTTTATGGTTTGATCATGATTACCTGAATGTTATTATATATCTGAAAAACATTATTATTAATCAGTGTCCTCAATTATTACAAACTACAATAAATAAATATAATCAGTACAACTTTCAGCCAGATATTTATATTTACAATCTGAAAAGTTTCAGCCATACATGCATTACTGTCTGTAATACCCATGCAAGATAAGTGGAAACTTTCTGCATTTGTCCCAATAATATGTAAAGAACTACAGTATGTTAGTGTGTAGAATGGATATTAAGCCTTGATTTATGTAAAAACTTAATTATCTTTTCCCTCCCAATACTTTGCTCATTGTTGTCGGAGAGGCTTAAGAGATGCAGGCTGATGCCCAATGTAAGGGATCACTCCTACCTTAGAAACACATGTATATACTGTGTGTTTTCGTGTGCGGTGGGTGTGTGGTGTGGGTGTGTGGGTGCGGATGTGTGAATGTGTGAAATATTTATGAATATATCTATTGACAGCAAAAACCACTTCTGTGATATCACTGACAAAATTATGCCAAATTAATGTATGACTTAATACACTTATACAGTTGCAAGCACAAACATGCTTTACAATGACCCCGTTAAAAAAAAAAAATGGAGAGACCTGAGTAGAAAATTATACCCTAGCTATTGTTTCCAATTAAGCATATAGATGGATTCAGATAACAGGATTTTAAAGATGGAATACACCCTTTCCACAAGTCATTGCGAGCGAGAATGATACAATGCCACTACTTAAACATTATGGGAAGAGTTAGTTGGAGAAAAATATTGTCTCTCACACAAAACGGTTAGACGCCATTGAGTGTCGTTTTGGTGTAGATTCTTTCATTTTCAGCTTGGAATATCACTACAGCTCACGCATATCACCATGCATCATTCTAGTTTATTGTGTTCTCCCATATCTCTCTGGATCAGCGACACTACGAGCGTAGTGTGTTTTCTAGGCATGGTCGCCTGTTGAGGCAAACACATTTGTTTGTATTTGGGGTGTGGTTGCTCACAGGCTAGTGTGTTGTTGGTTGTGTGGTGTACTACATTTTGTTGGGCATGCCCGTACATACAGTATCAGCACCATCTATCACATCGCTCGCACACATCACACATCATTGTACACACATCGTTAGCACGACTCAACGAGCACTGTGTGGTGTGACGGTATCACGACACCATGCCTGACACACATACGATCTACAGTCACATCTGAGTGTTGTGTGTTTGGTGTTGTGAGTTGCTTGTTCTTACATACACACTTGGACGACTTATTCGTGTACGATTGTGTTGTTGTATGGCTACGACAAAGGTTTTGGTTGCTGGGGTCTCATGCACATCTGCACGTGCTAGTGATGGTTATGCTACTACTTATTCTGACTACGACATCACAGTGGTATTGTGTCATGCAGTCAGCACACACATCGAGCACACATGTGTGTTTGGTGCATCAGACCTATGTTTTGTGTGGTTTGTGTGTGCTCACAGCACAGCAGCATCGCGACAGTTTGTTCACACACACGATGTATTATTGTCGTTTTCCGTACCTCGGTGGGTGTTGTCAGATCCATCGACGAGCGGTACAAGTCGAAATGCGTACCATTGGTGAGTGTTGGGAGTGTGTTTGAAGTTCTTGAGAGTAGAGTTATTGGTAACGCTTTTTTCTTAAGGTCTGGGTCTGCCTGATTTCCCGGAGAAGTAATCGGCGGTACAGCAACGCAAGCGCTCAGTCTGCCGCGTACGCACTGGCGCTGGTACATAGAATAGAGAAGAATAGTATGAAGAGAGAATATGGTTAAGAGTAATTAAGCAGGTAAGTTCCGTTCTCGTTTGGATGTCCTGCAGGTCTCGTGGGAGTGTTGAAATGCTGTCGAGGTTGCCGTGGATCCTTCGACTGTTTTTATGTTGAAAGCGAGTGCTCTGTGGGGGCTGGGACTCGTAGCTCATTCCTCCTGGAGAGTAATCGTTCACCCTTGATAGGAGGTAGCAACTCTCTGGAGGTTTAGAGCAGTCGGGAATTGGTTGCGCCCATTCCTCTCGTGAGAAATTTAGATTTTTCGTGCCACCTGCCCCGGAATAGTCCAGCAGCTGAATGTCTCGTGTTGGTATGATGTCTTTCTATGATGTGCTTCAAGTGTCGTTTGCCAGGCGAAAAGTTAAGTGGCCGTTTTCAGTAATTCGGTGTGTAATAATTAGGTGAATTCTTGTTTAAGGACTACCCCTGTATCACTAATTCTTGTATGTGGACTTGTATCCATGTCGTTTTGTGCTTGATGCTCAGCAATTGTAAGGAATTTTCACGTGTGGACGAGCTCGGCTCCTGTGTTTTTTTGCTGCTCCTCTTGCTTAAGTATCTTCACTCTTGTTCAGAGTGGCTAAGACTTCTTTTGTATGTTAACTGTACGCATCGCTGTTGCAGGTAGCTGACGTTAACTAGTTGCACTCATGGTTGTTGTTGTCTGTATGTTTTGAGTGTTGATGGTACATGATTATATGCGGGCCGCGTCACTAGTTAGTGTCAGTCTTGATCCGATGTTGATGGATTGAGATTGATAGGGTGCTCCTGCACGGCTTGTTGTTATTTGATGGTGACTTTTTTTCGTAAACATTAACGGACGGTTTGGCCGGGGTGGAAAGGTAGATGTTGTCCAATATTGGAGCTTGTGGGGTCTGTGTTTGCTCTCATGTTGTTGTGTGAGAAGATTGCTGAGTGTGGTCTGCCAGTCCCCCTAGGCCAATGTATACTTCCTTTCTAACTTCCGCACTGTTGTAATGAGTATGAGGTGCAAAGCGATAAGCTAAATAAGTTGTTAATTGAATGGAGAGGGTGCGGGGGCTTTGTCGCGGTCAATTGATCTATGTATTTAGGTTTGGACCTTTTTTTTTCATTAAAACGGGTAAGCGCAAAGGATTTATAAGTTTCATGCTGTGTAGCGATACTGGGCGCGTGTATGTGTGCATTGGCCCGTGTCTCTTGCATTGTGTGGCACATTGAGGGTTGCCATGGCTGCGAGATTTGAATGCACATTTGTAGTTTTGCGTGTGTGTTGATATTTATTATTTTAGATTATTGATGATTTATTATCGAACTCATCTATCGGCTGCTTAGTTGGCAAGTGGTTGATTGCGTGAGTTTGGAAATGTGTAGCTGAACGTTGTATAGGTTTATTTACAAGTTAATTTTTTCGCGTGCATTTTTCAATATTTTTTTCTTTGGATTTGATTCTGTCCTTGTTTATGGTTATATTGAGTTGAAGTTCCGTGCTGTCCTGGTATACACAACCAAGGTCGGTTGTTCTACTTTGCATTTTCCCATACGCCATAATGTTCCTTATCAAAGGGATTTTACCCAACCCATATAAAAGTTATCGCAAGTTCGAATTTCATTGTTCAAGAGCACCTACCCTCGTTGATATATTTGAAGATGAAGCAGGCCCGAATCGGCTAATCAAAAATTGCCATTGGACAGTCGTATTTCACGACGTCCCGGCCGGGGTATTGGTTAAAGTTTTCAAACTAGCAATTACATCGCACCTTCGGTTTTTACCTCATTGGTTACGATACTGCCCCTAGCGCAAAGCTATAAGAATATTACAATGGTCTCCTCACCCAAGCCGACTTGTTTTATGAGGACTCGAGTCATGCGACTGAGTGAAGCATATGATTTTTGGGACTGTACCTTAAAGTGTCCTGTGGGAAACAAATGTGTGATTTATTTTTTCTTGTTGTGTATATAGGGATACAGATTAAGTTGTGGCTTTTGATGTTAATATTTTCGCCGAGCGTTATGCTTAATGGAAGCGCTCAAGTGTAAGTATTGTTTTTATGTGACCGATTTTTGATTTGAGTGTATCAGTGTTGGCGTTTGAAATATGTAAGATTCGTATAAGGCCAACTGGCGATAGTTCATCGTTAGAAGAGCAGCGATGCACCACACTAACGAGTCACAGCCCTGGATGCACATCACGACACAGTCTATGTCGCTACTTATTCGAACGATTGGTATATTGCGTTTCCGAACTCGTGGCAGAGGCTCGCGAGAGTCGACACGTAGTTCTGTGAGGATATTGCCGATCTTGCTGGTGACATTGAGGGAGTTGTTGATTGCGTTAGTGAGAGGTTAATGTAGTATATTTGTTAACGGTGTTTTTCTCTCGTATCTGCCGTTGTCCCGGATGAAGTACGCGGGACCCAAATCGTCTAAGCCTCATGCGCCACTACCAAGCGCCCAATGAAAAAGAAGTAAAGGAAGAAAACAGGTAAGTTCCCCGTCTCGTTTGGAGTCTGAAGGTCCTGTGGGAGTAGAAAGCTTCGGGCGGACCTCGACGATTGAGGAACAGCTGGGGTTGACTCGTAGCTTCATTCGCACCTGGAGGAGTTCTCACTTTGATAGGACAACTCTCGTGAGGGCTTAGATGATTGGCAGTTGGGAATTTTGGGTCGGCGCCGTTCGCTACCGGAAGAGATTGAATTTGCTCTCGCACTGCTCTGTGGATTATTCCACATACTGACCGATGGTAAGTCTTCTTACCCTCGAGTTGTCGTTTTTTCAGGGCGTAAGTAAGTAAGGCTCGTTGTATTTCGCTGGCATATCTTTGCGGGTCTGATATTATTTGTTATGTCTTGTTTAAATTCTATGCCGGCTATTTTGTGTCGCTAGATGGTATAACTACTGCCAACGTCTGTGTAAACATTAAGAATCACGTAGTCGGCTTGTTTCGGGCTTCGCCTTCCCAAATCTTTCTTTCAGGTCTAGACTCCCTTGTTATGTTATACCCCACTGTTGTTGCATCGATGTCACTAGCTGTTCACTACTAATTTTGAAAGTTTTTTACCTTGTGTGGAACGAGATAGCACACACAGGGCTATCTAGCTCGCTACGCATTAGGATGAAGTTTAGTTTATGGGTGCCATATGTCGTATGTGACTGTTTTCGCGTAAAACCATTAACGGCTCGCTCGAATAGGAATTGATCAGAATTGGGGCGTGCTTTGTGTGCATGTTAGTAGGAGCATGGCTGGAAGAGGCTGCAGGTCCTCGTGCCGGTAGTGCAGTATGGTGATTGGTCCGTTTCAATCTTCACACTATATAGTGACATTAGTGTTCTCTATAGCGTGAGACAAATATGGTTAATTATGTGAAATAGGTCGGGGGATTTTGCGTTCAATTCTATTAATTAACCTTTTTTTTTCATTAAGAACGAAGCAAGAAAATATAAGTTTTGCATGTGTACGATACTGCCGAATATATTGACACCCGCATGGCAATGAGGTTGCAGCTCAGATTTAATCACATTTAGTTTCGTGTTATAATATTATTATTATAATTATTATGATTATTATCATCATTATCCTCTAAGTTGCAGTGGTTATGGAAAGTAACGTGAATGTTAAGTATTTACAATATTTTCCATTTTCATGATTTTATCTTTAATAATCTTCATTATCATATTGTGTGAAACCTGCTTCCTGGAACACAGCCAGTCGGTTCTACTGCATTTCCTCACGCCTATGTTCCTTATCAAAGGATTTTACCCAAACTTATTAAGGAAAGTTATGGTAATTTCGAAACTTCATTGTTCCGAGCACTATCTCTTCATATATTAAAGATGAAGCAGCCCGAAATCGGGCTATCAAAAATTGCCTTGGCCGTCGGTATTTCACGACGTCCAGGCGGGGTATTGGTTAAAGTTTTCAACTAGCAATAATCGCACCTCGGTTTTACCTCATTGGTTACGATACTGCCACTGCGCAAAGCTAAAGAATATTACATGGTCTATCACCCAACCGAATGTTACTGAGGACTCGAGTCATGCGACTGTGATGCATAATGATTTTTGGATGTACTCAAAATGTCTCAACAAATGTGTGATTTATTTTTTCTCCGTTGTGTATAAGGATACAAGTTGGCTTTGATTAAAATTTCCGAGCTTCTTAATTGGACAAAGTATATTTTTACCATTTGATGAGGAACATTTGCCGTTGAAAAAAAAAATTGTATAAGCCAAACTGCGATATTCATTTAGAAACACACACACACACACACACACACACACACACACACACACACACACACACACACACACACACACACACACACACACACACACACACACACATACACACACACACACACACGCGCACATATTAATGACGGCGTAGCCAGCCAAGATCGATATGGATCCTACGCCTGTAACTGACACTAACACTAGCAAGCGTTTAATTTTCTGTTTCTTACGCTCTCTCATTATGAATATAAATACAAAATATTTTTTTCTTCTAGATGTTAGATACTTAAAACGTACATTTACATACAATCCAAGGACAAATATATTTGTATTTGATCCACTTCTGTTGCTGAGTAAGCACTTGTGGAAATAACTATGTAACCAACATATAAGGTCTTTTCGTAGAGTACAGGAAACTCAACGCGTTGTACTTTTCTCTACACTACCAATCAGACGTCATTGTTCTTAAAGATTCTGGTTGATTGGTGATTGTGCTGCCAGGTGTATAAGAAAATATATGAAAAACTATCGGTTAAGAGTCATAAACAGTCGAGAGAGGGAGAAAGAGTGGATGTGCGGAGTTGATGTCTCCAACACAAAATTATATCATATTTAGATACCCTTCGATAACTTACAAAATCAACTTTAAATTATCTGTAATTCTGTTTTGTTTAAGTCCTCTTTAGTAGCGCAACGAAAGTCCTGACGTGTTGGATTTTCTTCAACACTAGACTTAAGTAATAATTTTTGGTAAGTACTCCGTCTTGTCTTTCAGAGTGAGTGGGAAAAATGACACTAAAGAATGAATAATTACTATTTTTTCAGTGATTACTGCTTAAATAAGAGATGTGTTACGATCTAGGAAAATGGAATAGAACAAAAAAAACTGCATATTCTATATCTTGAATAATTACATGTTATATTTCTTTCACAATCATTACCATATGATAATGAAGTGTAATAACTGTTCTTATCTACAATACATTTAAAGAATTAATGTCAAATGTTACAGATGATACTGTAGTGCTCATTAAATTTGTTATTAATTTTGAAGTCCAGTGCATATGAACTACATGAAGTAATCTCTGTGCATTTCTTATCACCATCAACTTCTCTCGCTCTTTCCCTCCCTCCATCCAGCGTCTCTGGAAAAAAAATGAAAAATGCAACCCCTCAGATGCATTTTCTGCGCATCTGAAGGCAGTGTTTTTGAATGGTGCGTAAAAGTAATAGATTTTTTCTTTATTATCCTGCTAGGCCGACAGACGGCGGACTTTCGCCGGATACCGGCTACTTCTGAACATTCTGTTACAGGTCTAAGACCCGTATCATTCCTGCCTGGCTACCCCGTTATATATATATATATATATATATATATATATATATATATATATATATATATATATATATATATATATGCGTGTGTGTATGGGCGCGCGCGCGCGCGTGTGTATTACTTATTTTTCTAAAGAATATCGTAGCCGGATGCCGGCTACTTCTGAACATTCTGTTACAGGTCTGAGACCCGTATCATTCCTGCCTGGCTACCCGTTATATATATATATATATATATATATATATATATATATATATATATATATATATATATATATATATATTATATGCGTGTGTGTATGGGCGCGCGCGCGCGCGTGTGTATTTACTTATTTTTCTAAATGCATATCGTAGTTTGGTTTATACTTATGGAATGAAATTTTAATACCATCTGATTCATACCCTTATACACAACGGAGAAAAATGAAATTACACATTTGTTAAAATAATTTATGTATATCCAAAAATCATTTCGCTTCATAATCGCATGACTCGAGTCCTCAGTAACCGTCGGTTGGGAGAGCGTGAATTTCTTGTTAGCTTTGCGCAGTGGCAGTATCGTAACCAATGAGGTAAAACCGAGGTGCGATTATTGCTAGTTGAAAACTTTAACCAATACCCCGCCTGGACGTCGTGAAATACCGACGGCCAAGGCAATTTTTGATAGCCTGATTTCGGGCTGCGTAATATTAAATATATAAAATTGTAGTGAGAAAGAAATAAAGGAGAGAATTAAAATCGCTGACCTTTTTCAAATACCTCTTCCATTTGATGAGAAACACTATCGTGGAAAAAAAAAAAAAAAAATGGACTAGATGTGTTCATGTAGGTTTCACACAGTATGATGATAGTATTGAGAAAAACAAAATATTAATTGCCAACTACGAATAGTTACCATTTTGTAAATACTTCACCGAGTTCATTCTACTCTCCATCGTCATTGTTTATCAGAGGGTAATTATACATGTAATGTTCAAAATAATTACAATAATTACCAATGCGTGACTCTGCCATTTCTAAAACAAACAACAACAAAATAACAAGGGACCAACTGTGACTGTGCTCCGTTGCCAGATGTAGCGCCAATAGAATCTACAGTATCGTACAGCATAAAACATATGCTTATACCCGTTTTAATAAAACATTAAAAAAAATTCAGTTATATATACTGAAAATAACACATTCGTTGCCTATAATTTTAGTTTCAAGTTGATTCAGTAATAAATCAAATTACACTAAT